TATAGGAAGTACACACAGATAACAGATATACAGGAAGTACACATGGATATACAGGAAGTACACACAGATATAATAATAAACACAGTTACTATTCCAATGCAAAATCATTAAATAATTAAATGTGGATTATTGAACATTAGATCTCTTTCCTCTAAATCCCTGTTAGTTAATGAACTGATAACTGATCATCATATTGATTTATTGTGTCTGACAGAAACTTGGCTACAACAGGAGGATTTTGTTAGTATAAATGAATCCACTCCTGTTAATTATTTAAATTTTCATGTTCCTAGAACAACTGGCCGAGGTGGAGGAGTAGCTTCTATTTTTCAGTCAGGATTATTGATTAATGCCAAACCAGTTATTAGTTATGATTCTTTTGAATCACTGTCCCTCAGTCTTTCTCATCCAAAATGGAAATCAGAAAAGACACTTTTACTAGTTGTTCTATATCGTCCACCAGGCGCTTACTCTCAGTTTTTGTCTGAATTCTCAGAATTATTAACTGACTTATTATTAAATACTGATAAAATCATAATAATGGGTGATTTCAATATTCATGTAGATGTTGAAAGTGACAGCTTAAGCATAGTCTTTAATTTAATAGACTCATTTGGTTTTACCCAAAACGTCCGCACATCTACTCATTCTTATCATCACACTCTTGATTTAGTTCTGACCTATGGTATAGAGATTAAGGACTTGGTAATAGTTCCTCAAAATCCTATTCTGTCTGACCATTTTTTAATAACCTTTGAGTTTACATTAAATGACTACACAGTCACTGAGAGTAAATTTCATCTCAGCAATCAGAAAATGCTGTAACCAAATTTATACAATCTCTTTCATCAATGTTTTCCTCTGTCTTGAGAGTAATGCATCAGAGAACAGAGACTTAGATCATCTAGTTGATCATCTTACAACTTCAATGCAAACTTCACTTGATAAAATTGCTCCACTGAAAAAGAAAGTAATCAGTCAGAGGAAACTGGATCCTTGGTTCAATTCTGAGTTATGTACTTTAAAGCAGCATCTAGAAACCAGGAGAGAAAATGGCGCTCTACTAATGTTGAAGAATTTTATTTAACTTGGAAACATTGTCTGCTAACATAAAAAAGCTACAAAGTCCATGCTCAATAATCCAGGTATACAGTCCAACATTTTTCAGTCAGGTCATCTGGACAGTTTCGTTTTTTGCGCTGAAACGTTTCACCTTCGATCCAGAAGGCTTCATCAGTCAAGGAAACACACAACACAAAACTGATTCTTCCCCCAACAGCTTACTCCAAAGTGGAACAAACCAGTTATGTTGGTGCTAAGATGGACTCTTTGTCACGCCCCTCCTCCTTTGCCGGCCCTCTTCCACAGTCGTGTCAATCTTGTTAGGCCGAGACTCGGACTGCCCCCTCTTTGATACAACTGGGGGTGCTTGGCATCGCGCCCCTATCGCGCGGCCCCCTGGTGGGGTGTGCCCTTGCCTGCCGGCGCGCTTGGGGCCCTTGGTATCGGGGGCTGGGCGCTTGGGCGTGTGTCGGCTCGGCCTGGTGTCTGCCTGGTGGGGCTCGGGTCCTCTGGCCCTGTCAGGCCTTGGCCTGGGTGGTGTGAGTCCTCGGTGCCCGGGCCTCGGTGCCTGGACCTGGACCTACATCGGTGCGGCGGGTGCCGACGGAGGCCTATGAGTTTGTCGCTGTTGGCCCCGGGGGGTCACTGTATGTGGTTGCTGGTGGGGATCTTCCGGTTCTCCCCTGTGGTCCCTTCTGGGGGGTGGGTGAGTGGTTCGCCCTGTGTGGGTGGCTCTGGGGGCTCCGCGGTCGGGGTCCCTCCTGGGGTCTTGGGCTCTCGTCCCCCCTTTTTCGTCTGCCTCTGGTCTTGGGGTCGGGTCTCTGCTGCTTCACAATTACTAATAAATGTTCTATTAGAGAAGCCTTATACACTTATGCATGCTCACAACCACACACAAATAGAAGCAGGGATGTTTATGTAGGCTTTATATGTAGATATATAGATATGTATGTGAGTGTATATTCATGTGTATGTATGTATGTATGTATATAGGCGTAGGTATGGGTATATATATTTATGGAAACTTACTGCAAAGCCATTAATATTTTAAGTTCTTTATACATATGTATTTTGTTGCTGTGTTTTGTCATGTTCTTTGCAGGTGAACAGACAGTGGCCGGGTGTTTTGAAGTGTGCTCTATTTGTATATATTTCTTATATTTTGGAGTCTTACTTTGTCTTTTCTTTCTTTCTATCCTATTAAAAAAAAAAAAAACCCTACACTAGAATGTCACTATAATAAATATTTCATAATAATGGTGTGGAGAGGATGGCTGTAAGGGGAGAAGGGAGGCCATCACAAAAAAAAGAAAAAAAAAAAAAATCTTGGTGTTATTTTTGATCAGGACATGTCTTTTATCCCCCACATTAAAAACATTGCTAGAACCACCTTCTTCCACCTGCGTAATATCACTAACATTAGAAACATCTGATATAAAGATGATGCAGAAAAACTGGTCCATGTATTTGTCACGTCTAGACTGGACTATTGCAATGGTTTATTATCTGGGTGTCCAAATACTTCTTTTAAACATCTTCATTTGATCCAAAATGTTGCTGCCAGAATCTTAACTGGAGTTACTGGGAGAGATCATATCTCTACAGTTTTAGTTTCTCTCCATTGGCTCCCTGTCAAGTCCAGAATAGAATTCAAAATCTTACTTCTAACCTACAAAGCTCTCAACAACCTAGCTCCATCTTATATTACAGATCTTATTGTTCCATATTTTCCCAACAGAGCACTTCGATCTCAGGCTGCAGGTTTACTTGTGGTTCCTAGAGTTTACAAAAGCAGAATGGGAGGAAGATCTTTCAGTTCTCAGGCTCCTCTCTTGTGGAACCAACTTCCAATCTCTGTCCGTGAGGCTGACACATTGTCCAGTTTTAAAATTAGGCTTAAGACTTTCCTTTTTGATAAATCCTATAGTTAGGGTCGGCTTGGGTTTCCTGAGCTGTCCCTTAGTTCTGCTGCTATAGGCTTAGACTGCTGGAGGACAAACTGACCACACTTTTCACTCTACTACTGTCTTTACTTACTCTGCTCAACCTGTTTTGTATTTATAATTATTTTCTCTATCCTTAACATGTGTTGTTTGTCTTTCAGGTACACCTGGACCTATATCTGGACCTGCCATTTTGTGTTCGTCTGTCTCTCCTTCCTGTCCTCTCAACCAGCCGGTCAAAGCAGATGGCCTCTTGTCCTGAGCCTGGTTCTGCTGGAGGTTTCTTCCTTTTAAAAGGGAGTTTTTCTTTCCACTGTTGTCACTGTGCTTGCTCAGGATGGGAGACTGCAACGAAGCCAAGATACAACTTGTCTGCTGGATTTCTTAGATAGAGAACTTTACTATGAATATGAATATAGACTATGTCTATATTCTGATTTATTTAATTTTGTATATTGCTTTGTGTGATACCTGTTGTTCTGTCTGTACAGCACTTTGGTTGGCCTTGTCGCTGTTTTAAGTGCTCTATAAATACATTTGTAAATGGTATGGTATGGTATGGTACTAATTGGCTTTTATGTATATGAATGTTCCTGTAAAGTGCCCTGAGACAACTTTGTTGTGATTTGGCGCTATATAAATAAATTGAAATTGAATATAGGAAGTACACACAGATATACAGGAAGCACACACAGATGTTTAGGAAGTACACACAGATATACAGGAAGTACACACAGATATACAGGAAGTACACACAGATATATAGGAATTACACACGGGTATACAGGAAGTACACAAATATTTAGGACGTACACCTAGATATACAGGAAGTACACACAGATATTTAGGAAGTACACATAGATATACAGGAAGTACACACAGATATACAGGAAGTACACACATATACAGGAAGTACACACAGATATACAGGAAGTACACACAGATATACAGGAAGTATACACCTAAAGTCCAGTCACAAGAATCTGCCACGAGCAGTGTGTGCAGCTTGTTTTTATAGACTTGTCAGTTCAGCCGAGCTCACAGACTCGGAGACGTCCTTGGACCGATAGCTGCATGTATCAGATTTATCCAGCTCCTCGTTCAGCTTTCTACTAACACAAACATATCGTTCATGGGCAGAGTTAACATTCTTAGCCATAACTTTTAAAAACTTCCATAAACTTTGACCAAAAATTTCCTACCATGATATCCTGATGCATGCTCAATAATCCAGGGGATTCTGAGGAAGTCTCTCGGATGCGAGACGAAACGTTTCTGCATTTTGCTGTTGTTTTGCTTTGTTTTGGTTTTTTTGAATGTCCAGAGGACCAGATTTAACTTTTTTAGATTCCTAATGTAGTGAACTAAGCCTCCGGTCAAGACCTGCCTCTGAAGACCTTCATGGGACAGGAACTGTTATTTCACTACACTAACATGATGTTCAAACCACCTCAGTTAACTCCTTTCAATGCAGAGGATGTGGAAATGGATCATAATGGCGTGAATAATTTACAAACATTCACACTATGATCCTGGTTCTAAATAGAACCAACTTGTAAAGAGGAGAACAGCAGTGGATAACTTTTGAGAACCTCTGTGGAAACTGGTCTGGATCATGATTGTCCTTTAGCAGATCCATTAAGCAACAAACAGCACCAGCCATAGGAATGATGTCTTGTTTGGGTTCACTTGTTTTGCGGTGGAAGACAAACAAGGCCCACAGTGGGTGGTTCTGTTCTCAGCAGTGACAGTGTGGAACCGTCACAACCAGGACTGAGGTTGTGGTTTCACCAGTGTGCTGGTTAAACGGGACAGCTTTCAATGAAACTCTTCAGTGTACTTCTACAACAGATTAACTTCTGGAGGAGAAGAAGTCCAGTAGAAACTTTTGCTGACGTCATGCTTGTTCCTCTGCAGGCTCATGATTGTGCTGTGGAGTACGCCACCCCCCTGCTGACTCTTTACCGGATGTCCCAGGAGAGAAGCGCAGGTTTCGGAGAGCCTGAGCGCAGACAGCAGGTTCTCCTCTTCTACAGGACTCTGCAGGACATCCTTGACCAGTCGCTGGAGTGTCGCAACCGCTACAGACTCATCTTGCTCAGTGGTACGAAAACTGTCCAATGTGCACATGTGTGAACTCTGCACATCCCTCACAGTGATGACACATGCTGCCTTTCAGGGGATTTTAGCTGTTTGCTGATCAGCTTCCTCCTCCAGGAGCTGACAAGCAGGATTTGGGACTAATTTACCTTTTTTTTTGTATTTTATATGTACCAAGTAAATGTTAGGAGCGTCCTGCAAAGCTGGAGGGAAGAGTGAAGTTTCTGTCTCAACTTTAACCACGTTAGATTATCATTTAGCGTGAATTTTATCACGTAATTTGGTTGTCAAACAACAAGAATCGGCTAAGAAAGCAAAGTGTCAAGCTTTTTTCATTCCTGTTGTAGATGAGCATGAAGATGATCCTCACTTCCTGTCCAAAACCATCCTGAGACACTTGGAGCAGCAGAAGAAGGAGGAGTTCTGTCTGAACCCACCTCCTCAGCGGGAGGCCAAACAAGCATCTCTGGGCTCTTTCTTGACTCCTGCTGTGAACAACGCAGTGTGGCACTCTCTGGAGTCAATGAGCAGGGAGCCAACACTCATGATCAGTCTGGAGAAACCTGAGCCTCTGAAGGAGCCTGTGGAGGACATGGACCTCAACTACAGAGCAGCATGAACGCACAAAGATTACCAGCACAAATAACAACAACGCACCTTGTTTGTACTGCTTGTATCACGTCAAAGCACATCTGAAAGTTTAGTAAAGCTGGTAAAGGTTTAACACAAATGGTTGTTTTTGTTATTTTTCACATCACTCGTGTTCTATTTAAAATATACACTGTATCTGTAGAAAATCTGTTGAACTTAGATAAAATTATTTTCTAAAAGAAACTTAGGGCTTCTTGAAGGACTGTACACCTTGTGAAACCTTTCAGAGTTTTAAACAACGAGCATCTGTTCTTCCTTCAGCTGCTTCCCTCATTTGCACGGAGGATTTGACCGATGTTTCATGCTGGATGCCCTTCCTGATGGAATCTGGGGCCTAATGTCTCAATGGTGCACATGCACAAAAATGTTGTGGGTGTCAGGTTCCACACGCATCAGGATGCAGCTACACAAACATTGTGTGAAAGGTCCAATGTACATTTTTGACCTGCTGTGAGAATATGTGTACTGCCATGCAAACTTTTTCAGTCCACAGCATCAAACTGAAGCTCACCTAAATACATGAACATTAGCCTCTGTTTGGCTTTCTGAGCGTTAGGGGTATTTAAACATGATATGATATATACGTTTAACTATTTATAATTAAATTTTTTTATTATTATTATTTAGGGCAGCATGGTGTCGCAACTGGCAGAGTTGCTGCCTCTCAGTGAGAAGGTCCCCGGTTCAAATCCCGGTCCGGGGGTCTTTCTGGGTGGAGTTTGCATGTTCTCTCCTTGCTGCGTGGGTTTTCTCCAGGTACTCCAGTTTTCTCCCACAAATCAAAAACATGCATGTTAGGCTGATTGGTAACTCTAAATTGTCCCTAGGTGTGAGTGAGAGAGTGAATGGTTGTTTAACTCGTTTGTCTCTATGTGTCCTTGTGATGAACTGGAGACCTGTCCATGGTGTCCCCCGTCTCTCGCACAGTAATGGCTGGACATGGGCACCAGTGACTCCCGGTGACCCAAAAAGGAAGAAGCGGGTAATAGATAATTAATTAATTATTTGATTGATGGATGGATGGATGGATGGATGGATGGATGGATGGATGGATGGAT